GTTCAATTATAGGTACCAAAACTAAAAAATAAAATAGTGCACACCTGTAGTCACAGCATTCTGGGAGGCTGAGGTAGGACTGCAAGTTCCAGCCAGTCCAGGCAACTCAGTAACTTTGTGAGATCCTGTTTCTCCACGAAAAGGGGGGTATGCAAGAGATTGTGCTCCGTGCGAAGGCTCTCGGTTCCCTCCCCATCATCGGCACGAATCAAAGACACGGGCAATCGAGACCCTCTGTTGGTTTTCTGGTAGGTAACTTAGACCTCTGACCTTTCTCACAATAAAACAATCAAAGTAGAAGCCCCCAGAAGGAGCCTAACAGAGCAGAGTGAGGGACCTCCGGCCACTGCGCCCGCGATCTCCCCGCTTTTGTTTCCTGCCTCCGACGCCGACGCCGACCCCGACCCCGACCCCGACCCCGACCCCGGCCCCGACCCCGGCCCCTACCCCGACCCCGGCGCGGTAGGAGCGGCTGCAATGGACTCTCGGTAAGGGGTAATCACAGGTCCCAGATCCTGAAGTCTAGTCCGTGCCGGGTGATTCTCGGCTTCACCACCATTGCCTAATTTAATCTCTACACTCGTGGCAGATAACACTTAGCATATTTGTTATCCCGATAAAGAAACTGAAGCACCTTTACGACGCCAAAGGGCACAAAGGCTGAGGAACCCGGCGGGAAACCAGGTCTGTGCAAGCGCCAAACCTTTCTTTACACAAGCATTTTTAATTAGCGCGGACCGGTCCCAAGGGCTCCTCCCCTCAGTCCCTCAGTGAGGCCAAGTCTAGGGGTATTCTAGGAAGGGGACGCTGACGACACCTTCAGCGATCTGAAGCAGCACTCACCTTCCGCAGCCGCTGTCTCCCCACCAGCAGCTGGCCCAGCCCCGCCGGCTCAGAGGTTCGATCCCCAGCCTCCGCGACCGTTACCGCGGGGAAGGCCAGCCAATCGAGCCCGAGCGCTCGAGGGCACGCCGCCGCTTCGCTTCAGAGATTCCGAGCGACTCTCTCCGGCAGCTAGACAAGGCTGGGAGAGCTCGTGTCCACTGGTTGGCTCTACTGCTGGGGGCGGGGCTTATCGATGACGTCAACTAGTCTGCGTACTGCCATAGGCATGCTGGTACGCCGATCGCACGCGCAACGCGCTCCAGCCAGTTGGGCCCTTGGGCGCGCTCTTGGAACCTTGCTTATCCGGAAGTTGTCAGAAATACGTTTTTGCGACTGCAGGTGAAGGTAAAGCCTAGACTCCCTGGTCACCCCAAATTGGCCTCTAGTTACTCACCATTGGGGTTTCCCTCCCCGCCTTCATTGTGAACTCTTTCTGGGAGCCAGTCAGCGTGGCCTGTATGTTCCAGCCAAGGCTGATCACTCGGGCATTGGACGACTCCCAATAATCATTAACCTTTCATCCTCTCGTTCAGCATTTTTCGAATGTTTGCGAAGTGCATGGTCCTACATTAGCCTGTAACAATACAAAGATGCTTCACTGCTGCGTAGAAATTAAGGAGATGTGTATACATTCAAGATCATGTGATAGGGGCTGGTGAAATGGCTCAGTGGTCTAAAGCACCTACTTAGAACAAGCTTAGCAAAGCACAAGGACCGCGGTTCAATCCCCCAGGACCACATGCCAGCCCGCCCCGCCCCCTGGTGGGCTGTAGCTGGCCACACATAAATAAATAAATAAAATTGAAAAAAAAAAGATCACGTGATAAACCTGAGCAAAGAAAAGTGTACCGGCCACTGAAGCAAAAGGATTACTACACATAAGGCTGTCGCTGGAACCTTGTAGGCTGGGGCGGCTCAGTCCTGGCTGCACATTTGAATTACCTGCGAAGCTTTGAAAACTCGGTACTTAGGCCCATTAAATCAAAATCCCTGAGGTAGGACCAAGGTGCCGGAACATGTAAGGCTCCTCGGAGGACTTAAGTACGCAGCCAAGAAGGAAGACAAACGTAGGGGACTGCTTAAAAATTTATGAAAAAATGAATAAGAGTTCCTCAGAAATACAGGGAGGAAAGGTAGAGAACACCTGATGGGCCCCTTTGGTACAGTGCATGTCTGCCCTCCTATAAACTACAAACCTAACTCCCAAAGTATTTACAAATATAATAGAACTTAGTAAAGGCTTCCTGGGGCATCAGAGTGTGTTCCTTCATTAGAGAAATGGGATATGCTACTGGGACTTTACCCAGGAGGTGACAGGAAATCACTGGCAGACTTTCCAGTATGTATATACAATGGAAATATTTTTGCTTTGGTATCTTCAAGCTTCATTCATCCTAATATGTTTTAAAAACATTATACAAGTATGTTCCATTCTGTACAAATATAATCACTTTTTTCACACACAAAAAAAAACCATACAAGAAAAATAGAACTCCCAGTCTGTTAGATGTCAAACATACTAAGTTTGTGGTTTCACGACAGAGAGAGATGAAGTTGCAAACCAAAAGAAAGAAATAGGACACTTAGCTGTGGACCAGCATGTTCTTGGGCTAGAAAGTGGGGACGTCAGGCTTCTGCACTAGAACTTTCCATGTGGTAACAAGGGAAGACCGGTGACCACCCGGTGCGGAAGCTGCAGCAGGTTTAAAAGTGGGTGATGTTGAGAAAGGCAAGAAAATTTTTGTACAGAAGTGTGCCCTGTGCTACACTGTTGAGAAGGGAGGCAAGCACAAGATGGGCCAAATCTCCATGGTCTCTTTGGGCGGACGACAGGTCAGGCTGCTGGATTCTATTACACAGATGCCAACAAGAACAAAGGTATCACCTGGGGAGAGGATACATTGATGGAGTATTTGGAGAATCCCAAGAAGTACATCCCAGGAACAAAAATGATCTTTGCTGGCATCAAGAAGAAGGGAGAAAGGGCAGACTTAATAGCTTACCTCAAAAAAGCTACTAATGAGTAATAGTCACTGCCTTATTTATTACAGAACAGAAATGTCTTGTGGTTTTTGTATGTGTACCATAATTTAATCTCATACACCAGTGAATTCTGAATTGATCATGAGTGGCTGACAGAATATTTTTGTTGGACAGTCCTGATTTAAATAAAATTGGCTTGTAGTTAAATGTGTATCATTTTTTTCTTCAAGGTTTGATAGTAATTCCAGTTCAGTAAATACTATCACTGTTTTCCCTTCTAAATACATGGTTGGACTTGATTAGTAATGTTCAGCTTTTCACAAAGATTGAGAATATCATCTCAAAACTACTGAAGGTTGGTTTTATATTTAGATTTATATAACTGGTTATGTGAATATGTTTAAATACTGAATCTTTCATTATCTCAAAACCAAGCAAGACTCCACTGTTTCAGTTTGTGTTTATTAGCCTGTTAAAGGGAGTGGCTGAAGACAAGAAAGCTATGTCTATATTTTTAGTCTTAACTATGCCAATTTAATTAGAATTCCCTATATCTAAAAAGTTCTGCCTTTTCCTTATTGAAAGGAATTTTAGTGTGGTGTATGTGTAATACCAAATAAAGGATATTTAACATTTCTCACATTTTATAGTTGATCTGTAAATTCAGATCCTTTTAAGAGTTAGCATGATATAACAGCAAGTTCTACTTTTGATTTCTTTACATCAGACTGAGTTACTGTTCATGGTAGCACTTAAACAGCTATTCAAAAACACAAGACTAAAACTTTTACTGTCGTATGTGTGATTGGTAGTCGTGCTTCCTGTCAGCTCATTAGAAGGACTGAAGTGAGGAAGGTACAACATGAGCACAAATTTGTATGTGACCATAATACTTAATTAAAAACAAATCAGATTTTTTTTAAAAAGAAAGAAATAGGAGAGTTTTACTGGAAATTAGAGCAAGAAGAATAGCTCCTGGATTTCCAGGAGGGGTCTTCAATAGGTGACCACTGAGCAGAACATTTGTCAGGGGTAGTCTATACAGCAAAGTCACAATGCAGAATTATGAGGGCTGTATAGCTACTTAGCTAATATCGATCCAAGAGGAGAATGAGTCACGTAGCAACGATATGTTTTTAAAAAACCTGGTATTTGGGGGAAGTGGGGAGAATGAATCTGGATGTTCTGGTCACCTGCTTAGGCACCTGAATGCCTGTTAGGACCCACTGGACCAGATGGTACTGTTACAGGATGATCTCAAGCTGGTGTTTATCTTTCAGGCCTGGGTACTGCTTATCTATCTTGAGGCCTGGATCTTCTCAGATTTTCCTCCAGCCACAATTCTTATGTCTTTTTGTTTTTGTGCTTTCTTGAGGTCCCAATCGTTCTTTGATTATATATTAATTTCTGTCTAACTTAGCTGCCTACAAGAAAATTAGCCTTATATTTCTGTTTAATCCACAATCTAAAACTAGGGTCCTGTCCACCATTTGCAAAAATTTATAAGGGATTAGTTGATCAAAAATAATTGATCAACTAATCAATTAAAGGGAAAATCTGCCTTCCACACCTGGAGGGAAGGCCTGAAGGCTCAGGGATCCACCATTGTCATTGCATCTCACAGTCACATGGTGTTGTGATTGTCAACAGGTCTTTTCCATCTGGTCAAAGGACCTGTCTGTGGCAAATGCAGGTTCCATGCTGACCAACAGGGATTTACCACAGAGAGCACAGGCTAAAGTGTCTCCCACCAGCACAAAATACTGAGGTCTTTGTACTTTCAAGCCCATACTCATCCTTCTTCCAGGCAGATGGGGCCACAGTAAGTTTGATCTCAGTATCTGCCCCAGCCCCTTCTCATCTCTTCCTTTCCATACCTGAGTATTCACATTAACAGTAGCTGACAACTGTTTGGTTGGTTTTTGAAGCAAGGTCTTACTTTGTAGTGCAGCTGGTCTCAAACTCAGCAACCTCTTAGCTTCGCCTCTTTAATGCTGGGATTCCTGGCAGGTGCCCCACACCTGGCCTAATAGCTGGCTGTCTTTTCTCACTTGTTGAGACAAAATATTCAACAACCAAAGTTAAAGAGGCAAGGTTTAGAGTAGCTCACAATTTGCACAGGTTTGGGTTCATAGTGGGCTGGCTGCAAGGCAGGGTGGCACAGCAGAGGGGCATCACAGAGGAGAACAGGTCATGGTGCGCAGAAGGCAGCAAAGCAGTGAAGCAGCAAAGAACTAGCAGCTGGCCTGATTTCTTTCTGTTCCTCTATACCCATCTAGGTTACCTGTCCTTTGAGTGGTGCTACCCACACCGAGTTCCCCATTATCCATACCCCAGACTATGTCAAAATCAATCAGTGTTGGGGCTGGGGAGTTAGCTCAGTAGAATAAGTGCTTGTGTGGCAAGCTCAAGGGCCTGAGTTCAATCCCCAGTTCCACAAAAAAAAAAAAAAATCAATCAGTGGGCTAATTTAGTAATCACACACCCTAGATCCAGCTACCCCTTAAAAGCCCCACCTCTGACCACATGAAGCTTTAGGGGGACACCTAGACACAAGCCATAATGCTGGAAAGCTATTATTTTTGACCAAGTTCAATTCTTGCTTCCCTTTTCCAGGACAAGAGGGTGACAACTTGCCTATTGCCTTGACTGTTCTGAGACCAAGAGGCCAAACACCTTTGGGTTAGGATTACATCAGAATAAAGTAAAAGAAAACCTAATCAAACTGTCTTCTTAAACCATAAAGAAATTGATGATCTCATAATAAAAGAAAACCTAGAGGCAGGTACTTTGGGTTTTGCTTAATTCAGTGGTTAACAAGTCACCAAGGAACCTATTGCTATGAGTCTCTCTGCTCTACAATAAACATGGTAAGCTTCAAGTTAATGCTAGAGGGAGTTTTTCAGCTTTATACCAGGAGCAACCAGGATGACATCTTCCCTCCCCCACGGGGAAAAAAAAATCCTTAGTTTTTTGAACAAGTTAGGTCAGCCGCATGGGCACACCCTGCCCTTTGCTCAGTAATGGCCTGAGAAGTACACAGATGGCTTAGGGCTGAGTTCCATAAGGGAAAGGGGTAGACAATTGGAACTGGCTTCTAAAGGGT